TTCTCCCATCAACTCCATTGTACATAGTTACCTTCACCTAAAAAAAAAAAAAAGAGACAAGGACTACAGAACAGAGATATTATCACTAAGTTTCCAACATTTAAACAACTAGCTGCCTCTCTGCGACTTAAACAAAACAAAACAAAAACAACCTGCCTCAGGCTGCCGGCAAAATGTCTGCAACCAGCTTTAAAAAATGCAGCTCCTGCCGGGAGGCAATGCCAGCCTCCGACGGCCATTCGGAGTGCATCTGTTGCCTGGGGGAATCTCACGTCTCCTAGAAGTGTACCCATTGTACAAAACTCACCTCCAGGGCTAGAAAAGATAGAGAGAGGTGCCTTTGCATGCTCCTCTTTGACAAAGCCCTGCAACCACAGCAAGCTGACTCTGATCAGCAGCCACATAAACGCCGGGCTTCCTCCCCCACTACGGAACTCCAAAAGAAGGCAAGGCTGTCCCCAGCGAGATCCCTGCCAGCTGCCTTTAATGGCAGGGAAAACCAGGCAGACAAACCTGGGACATCTGGCAATGTAAAGCCACGCCCCCCTGCCTCAGTGGCTCCGAAGCCTAAGTTGCCACAGGAGGCTTCCCAAACACTGGCTCCCCAGACAGCACCAGCTCAGCCACTTCCCTTCACTCGGGCGCAGAGTGCTGAGCAGGCTCCGAGAGCAGCCCCGGATCCGACCATCACGGCACTGGCGCTGGCACTGCCTCTGAGTCACCGTGCAGTGCCGGACTACACGGCGCTGACCCGCTCTGCCACTGGCGCGGCATTGATTGCTCCTGCCCTTGAGCCGCTGGAGCAGAGCAATCCAGCTGCTAGCACTTCAGCGCATGCCGCCAGACAACCACCGCAGAGTCCTCCTCCTCCTCTCCTATCTCCGCACCGCAACTGCTCTCGCTCCCGCCTCCTCTCCCTGGCACTGTCCTCTCTTCTACCTTTGCTACGATCTCCATGCTGGTCCACTCACTGGCATGGGTCTCCCCATGCCTCCTTCAGACTGCCTTCTCCTTTTCTAGCTGCTGCATCTTCTCATCGCAGGCACTACTACAGGCATCTCTCTGCTTCTCCTGCTTCCTCCAGGGCATCAGACATCCGCTCCTGTTCGCCCTGCTCCCCATACCACTATCGATATTACAGCTGTTCTAACTACCGTGACGACTGTTCACCGCGACATGGCACACACCACTGCGGCAACCGCTACTTCCGAGATTTGCGCAGCAGGTATTTTTGCCGATCACAATCCGCCTTTGGCTACGCTTCACGCAGGTGCTCTCCAACTCCGGCTCCCCTTACTCCTCTGCACCAGTCACCATCACCATCCATCAGAGCCAGAACGTACCCCCTTCGCGGACCAATCTTAGGGGACTTCCATCCCAGACTCGTCCCAGTCAGATGAGGCAGTCACGCTGGGTGACAACTCTCCACCAGATGACCTCCGTCAGTTCCAAGAGTTTTTTAAGTGGGTAGCTATCACATAAGAGATCCTGCTGCAGGAACTCAAGGACAAGCAGCACAAGCTTTTCAGGAATCTCCAACTGCAGCATCGTTCACGCCTGGCCATTCCTCTTGACGAAGGCATCCTGGAACTGGCTGATGAAGTGTGGCATGCTCCAGCGTCGGTTCTTCTGACCAACAAACAGACCGACAGGAAATATTTCGTACCACCGAAGGGCATGGAATTTCTCTTTGCCCATCCGCAGGCTAACTCCTTAGTTAGTCGACGCAGCTCAATAGAGGTCTAGAGCCCCACACCTCAAACAACAGGGCTCTGATAAGGACGTAAAGAGACTTGACCTCCTCGGCAGGAAGGTGTACACTTCAGCAATGCTACTCCTCAGAATCGCCAATTACTTGGCGCATCTCTCCAACCACACCTTTGACACCTTTTCACACCTTACCCCCCTCATGGATCATCTCCCTGATTCTAAGAAATCGATCCTGAGGTCAGTAATCCAAGAGGGCTACACATCAGCGAGAACGTCCCTCCAAATAGCCATGGACGTTGCTGACACCACTGCTCGCTCTACTGCTACTGCCATCGTTATGTGCAGAGCTTCTTTCCTTCAAGTGGCGGGAGTTCTGACAAGGATAAGCTCTTTGCAGAAACCACGGACTCAATCTTACACTCCTCTAAAGACTCCCGAACAACCTTGCCAACTCTGGGGATGTATTCTCCCACCTTCAAGAGACGCTGATACTCACCATACCAGCACAGATATGACTACTCCTACATCAGTGGCAGTAGCAACACCAGCAACAGAGGCCCTTTGACAACCAACGCTCTCGTCAGAGGCCTCAACAATGCCATAACCCAAACGGCAGGATGAACATGCCTCCCAACAACAAGCAACAGGTTTGATGCGTTGGTCAGAGGTGAGCAGATAGGCACAGGCAGTACTACGAATTGTACGACCCAGCTCTTTCACCACCGGTTGAGGTCTTTTCTACATCAATGGGCAAAAATGACTACGGATAGATGGGTCCTCGAGATTGTTCAGTCTGGCTACCCTATCCCTTTCATAGCCATCCCACCAACTATCCCTCCCACCCCGTCCCTCTTCAGGAACCCCTCTCACGAGACCCTCCTCAGACTAGAAGTCGATCGCCTTCTTTCTCTGGGTGCCATAGAGCCAATCCCAAAGGATTTCAGGAACAGGGGCTTTTACTCACATTATTTCCTCAACCAGAAGAGGTCCGGAGGTTGGCACCCCATCCTAGATCTCTGCCGTTTGAACAAATATCTCAAGAAACAACGATTCAAAATGACGACTTTAGCTGCCATAATCCCTGCATTAGATCCATAGGACTGATTTGCCACCCTCGACCTCCAGGACACCTATTTCCAAGTCCCTATCCATCCAGCTCACAGGAGGTTCTTGCGCTTCGTTGTGGCAAAGGACCACTTCCAATACAAGGACCTCCCCTTCGGGCTATCGTCAGCCCCCAGGGTATTTTCAAAAGTTCTATCCGTGGTCACGGCCTTCCTCTGGCGCCAAGGGTACTCCTCTTCCCTTACCTGGATGATTGCCTACTCAAGGGCCCTTCTGCATACAAGATTTCACAGATGGCTCACCTCACGAGAATACTCATGGACAACGTCACAGCTCTCCCTCCTTCTGTTCTGGTGACTACTGCTACGCAGTCACCCATATTGGAGCACCTGCAGGGACACCACCTCGAAGAACGACCGTTACAGCACCGAAGGTGAGTAACTTCGCTTTCCCCAGGAAAGTTTGTAATGTAAACACTGCAGAATAGTGTGGAAACCTGAAAATCATTGGAAGTGTAACACACTGATCAGTATCTCTTAAAAGCGGGGGGGGGGGAGGGAGGTAAAAGCGAGATTTCTAAATTTCAATTTCAGTAAGTAAGGAAAGGCACTTACTTTAAAAATGTCCCCTTTATAGTGATAACGGAGAAGAAATGTTTTTCATGTCAGATATCTGGGTCTGTTGGTTCTTCGGGTTTTGGATTTAATTGTTTTTTCAGTTTTGTGCACTGACTCCTCTCCCTTTTCCAAAAGCACAGTCAGTCAGCACGCCACACCTGGAAAATGATTCCTTATGCCGCTTCCAAAATTTCCCTTACTTAGGCTTGTACGACAAACAGCAAACCTACTAACAACTTGTGTCCAGAATTATCCCTTAAAACTTTCCACTTCTCTTCCATCATGCTCTCCCTGTGCTCCCTCTCAGTGCCTCTCAATTGCTAGATTTATCAGCTTTTGCAAGGAAACCTCTGAAGATTTTTTTCTTTTGTCTTTTGGCTCTTTGCACCTCATTGCTGTCAGTTGAATGATTTTTTTTTTTCTAAATAGCCTATCTAAAAATATGAATTAAAACCTTTTTCTCATCATTGGTCTTGGATCAGTGCTTGAAAAAAGCTTTTTGACCTGAGGAGTATTTGTTACTGGTTTATCAAATAGTGTTTAGCAATGTTCATAGACAACACATGAGGCCTTAAAACTGACATTGACTCTGACAGTAGATGTTTGGCACTAGCACTGGAACAAATGGACCAAAACCTGCATCTTGGACAAGGGGATTTTAAATGTTAATAGAAATTTTGCTTCACTTGTGATGTGTTCTCATTTTATGGTTAGAAAACCCCCAAAACAATGAGGAAATAAACAACACATGGTGAAAATTCACCGTGTTTTATCTGATTGAATTGCATATTGTTTCAATCTTCCTAACAAGAGGAAAACACACATTTCAGCTACAAAAAAGCAGTCATGTTAAACAATGATGATTGTTAAAACATGACTTGAAAGACTTAGAACTCTAAGAATTTCTGTCCTCTGCCCCCGAAAAGAACAATATGGGTTGAACCTCTCTTGTCTGGCACTTTTGGGACCTGGCCAATGCTGAACCAGAGAATTTGCCAAACTACAGGAGGTGGATATTGTGTAGGTGCATTACCAACATTTCCACTGCTTCCTGGACTCTTAGGTGATATTTAGTTGTAAATTAGAGCACAGAACACTGAGGGCCAGGACTGGTGGCTGTAAACAAACTTTATGGGGCAGCGGGAAACTTAGCCACACCCATAAGCTGACATCCAGCTAACTAGAAACTGCTGGACCTGATCAGAAAGTGTCAGATGAGAGGTTCAGCCTGTAGCTAGAGGTCCCTCTGTTTTCTATGAAACCGAAGGAACACATAGCAGACATTTATAGATGCTTCCTTTATTCTGATAGTTCATTGTATGCATAAAATCATGAAAGTTTTATTGCCTGATGTATGTGAGGTGACAGTTTGTCTGCAGATGTTCTTCTTTCTGCTGTGTTATCAAAGACAAAGACAGGATTAGACTGTTACTGATCTACTTTAAGTAGGAGAAGGTTATTGACATGAGATGACAGTGACCTAATGCTTTACTGTTTCATTTTTTCCAGTTTATTTCCTGTTGGGCAATATATTGCGTCTTTACATGTTTACAAGCCTCATTGCCTTCTGTTCATTCATGCCTGTAAAACAATTTTATTTTTCTGCAGAACACATATACCAATGCAGATAAGTTACTAGAAGCAGCCGAGCAGCTGGCTCAGACGGGGGAGTGTGACCCAGAAGAGATTTATCAAGCTGCACATCAGTTGGAAGACAGAATCCAGGATTTTGTTAGGCGTGTGGAGCAACGCAAGATCCTGCTGGACATGTCTGTGTCCTTTCATACTCACGTTAAAGAGGTGAGTTGACACTAATCCATGGAAGTATCTGGCAAACTTGAAAAGGATGCAAGACAAGTCATATTTTTATTGGTGTAACATACAACTCTCGCTGATGAGACACAATGAACGCCCATTGTACACTGAACATTTATTTCAGAACTGCATTATCTCTCCTGTTCTGCTGTCACCACAGAGTTAGCTATTTCTGTACCTTGATAGTCCCTGCCAACTGCTGATCCATGAATGGGGCATGATTATTATTATTATTTGTATTATGGTAGCAGTTAATGGCTCATATGTAGACATAGAAAGAGATAGTCGCTGCCCTGGACAGAGCTTAAAATCTTTATTTACAAGACAAACCATTGGAGGTGCGGGGGCAGCCAGTGACTTGGCCAAGATGACACATTGGCAGAGCTGGGAATAGAACCAGGCCCCTCATCCCCCATATTAGAGCCTTCCCCACTAGAAACTTAAAATTCATTGCTGCACTCAAATAGATGGGAGTCTTTGTGGAATTTTCTTTCAGGTCAAAAATAGATCAAGGAGAGAGAATGCACTTCAGATTGATAGGCATTAATTAAATGGAACAAGGGATAAACCATTTTGCATTGGGCTCCTGAAGTTAATTCTTAAGTAGATTACTGATGTTTATGTTCTTTCCTTATTCCCACTATCACTCACCATGCTAATGGAAGGCCATTAATTATTCTGTTACATTATATCACATGGGGGTGTTTAAAACTTGTTCAAAAATCTCACAGCCAAGTACCAATATAGGAAGAACAGTCATGCCTGGTAGAGAAGGAAAGGACATTATCCAAAATTTACTGCATTCTGCAAAGGGTTTCATAGGATTTCTGTATGTGATCATAGTTCCATATATTTTATTAAGCAGGAAAGGCAAACAGTATGTGAAAATGTTCATTATTGTATTGTTTTAAAACTGGAGACATAAATGTGGTGGTCAGCCAGTAGTTTCTGCATTCATACTTGCTCATGCTCACTCCTTTCCCCTTTACAGACCTACACTCCTTGGATTAATGCAAGAGAAAGACAATCTTTAAAATTAACTCTCACCTATTACACTTACTCCTTTAAAGGGTCTCTCTGGGATCCCTCAAATCAAGTAAGATTTCCCCTTAGACGTCTATAACTGATGAGTTCAAAGATGGGAAATTAGGCCAGTTCTGGCAAGGAACACTCTCTGGCAGTGGCAGCACATGAGGTCTCTATCTTCAGCGGTGCTGATGCGGGCTTGGGCCCACTCCTTACGTCAGGCTCTCTGATCTTTTTTATGCCCTGGTCCTCAGCTGTACATAGAAATTCTGTTGAGGCAAATGTGTGTCAGGCATCCTGACCACATGACCAAACCATGGTAGCTGTCTGTGGGGCGATTATTGCCTCAATGCTTCAGGAATCAGCCTTTGCAAGAACACTAACATTGGTCAGTCTGTTCTGCCATGTGATGCCCAATATTCTCCTCAGGTACTTTTGGTGGAATTTCTCCAGATCTTTAATATGATATCTATAGGGAGTCCAGACTTCAGCTCCATGTAGCAACATTGGGATGACTACAGCATTGGAGACGTCGATCTTGGTCTGCATCTTGATGTCACAGTCATCAAAGATTTGCCTCTGTAAACATCCATAAGTTGCACTGACACTGGAGATTCAGTGGCAGATTTCATCATCAATGTCAGCATAGCTGGACAGAGGGCTGTTGAGACAGGGGAAGCTGTTGACATTCTCCAGCAGTTGGTGGTTCGCCGTGATAGGGATGCTTGCTGGAGATGTAAAGGGTAACAAGAAAACATTCTATAAATACATTAGAAGGAAGAGAATGAGCAAGTACAGAGTAGGCCTGTTTCTCAAGAGAAACAAACAACAAAAAATGTGAAAATGGCGAAGATGCTCAGTGACTTCTTTGTTTTGATTTTCACCAAGAAGGCTGGTGGTGATTGGACACTTAACGTAGTGAATGCTAGTGAAAATGGGGCAGGTTCAGAAGTTATAATAAGGAAAGACTAAGTTAAAAATTACGTAGACAAGTTAGATGTCTTAAACTCAGCAGGGTCTCATAAAATGTGTCCTAAAATGTTCAAGGAGCTGACTGAGGACATATCTGAGCCAGTGGCGCTTATCTTCGAAGAGTCATGAAATACTCTTCGAAGAGTCCTGAAGACTGCAATAGAGCAAGTATAGTAACCATCTATAAAAAGGAAAATAAGGACAACCTAGAGAATTACAGACCAGTCATCTTACCTTCTGTATCAGGAAAGATAATGGAACAAACACTTAAGGAATCAATTTAAAACTTCTAGAAGATAATAAAGTGATAAATAATAGTACAGCATGGATTTGTCAAGGGCAAATATTATCAGGTCGGTTTGATAGCTTTCTTTGATAGGGTAATCTTGTGGATAAGGGGAAAGCAGTAGCTGGTATACCTAGATACTAGTAAGGCATTAGCTACAGTCTCACATGAGCTCATTAATAAACAATGGAAATTCAACCTAGATGGAACTTACTATAAGGTGAGTGCATAACTGGGTAAGTGGATGAAGTTTTCCCAGTGGGCATTGGCACCCAGCATCTCTCCCTCATTCTCTTTGGTGCAATCTGTCTTGGACTTTTTGTTGCTGGAAGAAAGATCGGGTGCATTCTTCCATCAGTCACCTGATGGCCATCACCGTGTATCACTAGCTGATTCAGGGTCAGACAGTGTTTTCTCACGACATGACAATCAGATTCTTGAGAGGCCTTGAAAGTTATGGCCCTCTGTGTCCCATTGGGACCTTTATTCATGGCTCTGCTCCTCTCTTGGCTCTCCAGCCTGCCCTTTGAGCTGCTGGATTTCTGCTCCCATTCCTACTAGTCCTGGAAGGCCACTTTGCTAGTGGCGGGTAACATCAGCAAGATAAGCCTTTGAGACCAAGGAACCACCATATACAGTGGTTTTATAAGGAGAAGGTCCAGCTATGGCCCCACCTGGCCTTCCCGCCAAAGGTGGTGTTTTCCTTCCATGTGAACCAGGATATATTCCTGCCTGTGTTCTCTTCCAAGCTGCACAAGACAGCAGAAGAGAGGTGTTTGCATGCTTTGGACGTCCGGAGGGCCTTCGCTTTTTATTTGGAATGTACCAAGCCTTTCACTAAATTGACCCTGTTCTTCAGGATAGGGCCTTCTTGTTTCTTTGTAGAAGTTTTCCAATGGGATCATCTCTTGCATAAAGACCTGCTATGAACTGTGAAAAGATCCTGCCATTGTTAATCATCAGGCCCCATTTGATGAAGGTGCTGGTATCTTCTGCATCCTTCTTGGCACACATCACAGTTTAGGACATCTGTACAGCTGCAGCATGGTCCTCTGTTCACAAGTTCACATCTTATTACACCATTACTCAGCAGGCCAGAGACAATGCTGGATTCAGCAGTTCTGTGTTAGTCATAACAGCTGTGAGCCTGCCTCCAGATGTACTGCTTGGAGTTACCTAATGGGGATGGACATAAGCAGACATTCAAAGAAGACAGTTACCTATTCTGTAACTTGTGTTCTCTGAGTTGTATTGGTCATGTCCACTCCACTGTTGGAGTTTCTAGCAAGAAGAAACTGAGACTGGGGGAGGGAGGGAGAGTGGTTGGCATTCCTTATGCTGCTCCATGGAGGTGCCAGAGCAGCTCCCCAAGTTGCTATGGGAAAAACGTCCGAGACCAGTGCATGTAATGACAATACACCTCTAGTGTAATGGACATGAACAATATCTCTTGAAAGACACCAGTTATGGAACAGGTACCTGTCTTTTTCCTAAGAATTTGAAAAACTTCTCTAAGAAATCTAAAATAAATAATGATAAAACAGGTAGGGCAAGAAAGAGTACTGTTACAAAAGACTGGAGAGATGACTGCAAGGGTTTGGACACCAGGCAAGAATGGATCCGGAAAGAATACCATATTCACTGATACGTACCGATGTGCAAGGACATAGAAAAAAATGAAGACTGGGGGTGGATTAGGCAGAAATGGTGAAGAGTGACATAGACCACAAAGGCTTAAAGATTAGCGAGCTGGTACGAGTAAGAATGTGCTGAGACGGTTTTATTCAGCTCGGCTGTCACTGCTGAACTGAAGAGATGGGAATTAAAAAATAAAGAAAAATTCAAAATAGAACAATAATCCTTGGTGAACTTAAGCACAAAAAGGGAGCTTACAAAAAGTGGAAACTTGGACTAGGGAGGAGTATAAATGTATGGCTCAAGAATGCAGGGGAGTTATCAAGAAGGCGAAAGCACAATTGGAATTTGCGACTCACAAGGGATGTGAAGGATAACAAGAAAGGTTTCTACAGGCATGTTAGCAAGAAGAAGGTGATCAGAGAGGGCGTGGAGGCCCCTACTGGATGAGGGCAGTAACCTAGTGACATATGATATGAGGAAAGCTGAACTGCTTAATGCTTTCTTTACCTCTGTCTTCATGCACAAGGTCAGTTCCCAGACTAATGTGCTCAGTGACACAATATGGGGTGAAGGTGGACAACCCTTGGTCGGGAAAGAACAGGTTAGGAACTATTTCAGAAAGCTAAAAGTACATAAATCCATGGGTCCGGTCTTAATACATTTGAGGGTACTGAGAGAGTTGGCGAATGTCATTGAGGAGCCTTTGGCCATTATCTTTGAAAAGTTGTAGAGATCGAGAGAGATCCCAGATGATTGGACAAAGGCAAATCTAGTGCCCATCTTTAAGAAAGGGAAGAAGGACGATCCAGGGAACTATAGGCAGGTCAGTCTTACCTTAGTCCCTGGAAAAATCATGGAGGGGATCTTCAAGGAATCCATTTTTAAGCACTTGGAAGAGGGGAAGGTGATCAGGAATAGTCAACATGGATTCATGAAGGGCAAGTCATGCCTAACCAATCTGATTAGCTTCTATGATGAGGTAACTGTCGCTGTGGGCATGGGGAAGTCAGTGGATGTGATATACCTTGACTTTAGCAAAGCTTTTGAGGCGGTATCCCACAAC